CATGACTACTAGCTGTGTACACAAAATTACCAACTGCACCTCCACAATTATAAGAAAAGACTTAAAAATCCTCCACCACTGTTTTAAATATAAGGGTCCACTATAAAAAAAATTATTATTTTGCGGGGATTATTTTGTGGGGTTATAAAAACTTTTTATAAATTAATATTATTTAAGATCTTAAAAAGAACTATTTGAGTGCTCATAATATTGGAGATTTTAATTGTTTTTTAAGAGGTTTTTAACCTCTCCAATTTATAATACAATTTTTACTATTTTACTTTCTCTTTTACACTAAAATTTTTCTAAATTTGTTACATGAATTTACTCACAACGTACCTCTAATTTCTCATTTCCCTTAAAGATTTTGAAGCAATCATATGATTTTTCTCCGAAGACAACTCTTCCTCCTTTCTCCTCAACAAATGCGGCTCCCCGTAATACAACTCCGTGTAACGTAGTTCATCCTCGCAATGAACAAAGCTTCAAGCAATGAATACAACTCCCACAACGCAGTTCATCGTTGTTTCATGGTCTTTGTTGTCAGGTAGGGTTCACGTGGAGTTTTCATTTTTGGTCATCGTCATAGCTCGTCATCGCATTGCATTGTCTCTTACCCCAACAAGATATATTTCTTTATTTTGAGTATTTTCTAAAGAATTTTTCTGTTTGTAAGGTGTATTGCGTGTGCGTATTCGATAAATCACCAAAGGGCAACATCATGCAAAGAATATGTCATCCCTTACCTTTATTTTCACTGACGTATGCCATCAATGTTACTTTTAATATCTTATTTGTCTCCTTCATTCCTTGAAATGGATCAACATTACCTTACGTGGGAGGTTCCTTGCTCAAACTAATGCATTATATGTGTCATTACAAGTTTTGACTCATTAAACACATTTTAGCATACCTAAACTAGCTAGAATTAGAAATTTTATTTTGCATTAGTTTTTTCAATATATTCTTTGTTTTAGACTTTGATTAGGATCATATTAAACATGTTTAGCTATTAAGATCATGCATTTATGCATTGCTAAATATTCAGACCCAAAATTGCAAACATATTGTGGAGTTAGAATTACAGTTGTTAAAATATTTTAAAATAAAAGATTGAAGTCGTCTTTGTCATTTGTTGGGGATTGAAGTTTTCATATAGCTTAGTCATTATTGTATAACATGTTTGCCTTTCTAATACTTGAACATTTGACTTCCCAATTAAGCTCAATGAGAAATCTACTCTTTCTAATAATATGCCTCTATCTGATCCACTATTGTACTATTGTTATTGTTGAGAATTTAATATATTTCCATTACTTGTCTTAATATTGTTTATGTTGTGAATTAGTTTCTTATTTCTCCTACTACAGTGCATTGGGCAACTATTATCCACATTCTTAGATACCTAGCTTTATCTTTTCCTCATCATCTTCCTTAGACGTTGTATGCTTATTCTTATGTTGTTGATTGAGTTGATTACTTTACTATATAAGTCTATTATAGATTTTGTGCATTTTTTCTTAAAAACCCTCTCTTGTTTCTCATTTCTTGATGAAGTTGAATATTGTGCCATAACTCTAACCATTAATGAGTTACTTTGTTTGCATTGGTTTCTTTCTAACATTAGTCATTTCTTTTTCTGGATAACTCCTAAGTAGTCTGGTAACCAAAATGCTATAAAATTTAGTGATAATTCAATTTTTAACGAGCATATGGAGAAATTCATTGTTCCTAGTCGTTATTTTATTTTTATCATACATCCATTATACTATCTTTCATCTCTTTTAGTAGCTATGCATTTTGTTAACTTATTTACGAAATCTTACACTACTAAGTGTTTTTATGTTTTAACTAACAAACTCTCTAATACATGGTGTTAGTCTTTTTGTTCTTATCATATTAATACATTTATATCTTTATTATGTCTTAGATATATAAATTTTTNGCTGTGTACACAAAATTACCAACTGCACCTCCACAATAATAAGAAAAGACTTAAAAATCCTCCACCACTGTTATAAATATAAGGGTCCACTATAAAAAAAATTATTATTTTGCGGGGATTATTTTGTGGGGTTATAAAAACTTTTTATAAATTAATATTATTTAAGATCTTAAAAAGAACTATTTGAGTGCTCATAATATTGGAGATTTTAATTGTTTTTTAAGAGGTTTTTAACCTCTCCAATTTATAATACAATTTTTACTATTTTACTTTCTCTTTTACACTAAAATTTTTCTAAATTTGTTACATGAATTTACTCACAACGTACCTCTAATTTCTCATTTCCCTTAAAGATTTTGAAGCAATCATATGATTTTTCTCCGAAGACAACTCTTCCTCCTTTCTCCTCAACAAATGCGGCTCCCCGTAATACAACTCCGTGTAACGTAGTTCATCCTCGCAATGAACAAAGCTTCAAGCAATGAATACAACTCCCACAACGCAGTTCATCGTTGTTTCATGGTCTTTGTTGTCAGGTAGGGTTCACGTGGAGTTTTCATTTTTGGTCATCGTCATAGCTCGTCATCGCATTGCATTGTCTCTTACCCCAACAAGATATATTTCTTTATTTTGAGTATTTTCTAAAGAATTTTTCTGTTTGTAAGGTGTATTGCGTGTGCGTATTCGATAAATCACCAAAGGGCAACATCATGCAAAGAATATGTCATCCCTTACCTTTATTTTCACTGACGTATGCCATCAATGTTACTTTTAATATCTTATTTGTCTCCTTCATTCCTTGAAATGGATCAACATTACCTTACGTGGGAGGTTCCTTGCTCAAACTAATGCATTATATGTGTCATTACAAGTTTTGACTCATTAAACACATTTTAGCATACCTAAACTAGCTAGAATTAGAAATTTTATTTTGCATTAGTTTTTTCAATATATTCTTTGTTTTAGACTTTGATTAGGATCATATTAAACATGTTTAGCTATTAAGATCATGCATTTATGCATTGCTAAATATTCAGACCCAAAATTGCAAACATATTGTGGAGTTAGAATTACAGTTGTTAAAATATTTTAAAATAAAAGATTGAAGTCGTCTTTGTCATTTGTTGGGGATTGAAGTTTTCATATAGCTTAGTCATTATTGTATAACATGTTTGCCTTTCTAATACTTGAACATTTGACTTCCCAATTAAGCTCAATGAGAAATCTACTCTTTCTAATAATATGCCTCTATCTGATCCACTATTGTACTATTGTTATTGTTGAGAATTTAATATATTTCCATTACTTGTCTTAATATTGTTTATGTTGTGAATTAGTTTCTTATTTCTCCTACTACAGTGCATTGGGAAACTATTATCCACATTCTTAGATACCTAGCTTTATCTTTTCCTCATCATCTTCCTTAGACGTTGTATGCTTATTCTTATGTTGTTGATTGAGTTGATTACTTTACTATATAAGTCTATTATAGATTTTGTGCATTTTTTCTTAAAAACCCTCTCTTGTTTCTCATTTCTTGATGAAGTTGAATATTGTGCCATAACTCTAACCATTAATGAGTTACTTTGTTTGCATTGGTTTCTTTCTAACATTAGTCATTTCTTTTTCTGGATAACTCCTAAGTAGTCTGGTAACCAAAATGCTATAAAATTTAGTGATAATTCAATTTTTAACGAGCATATGGAGAAATTCATTGTTCCTAGTCGTTATTTTTTTTCATCATACATCCATTATACTATCTTTCATCTCTTTTAGTAGCTATGCATTTTGTTAACTTATTTACGAAATCTTACACTACTAAGTGTTTTTATGTTTTAACTAACAAACTCTCTAATACATGGTGTTAGTCTTTTTGTTCTTATCATATTAATACATTTATATCTTTATTATGTCTTAGATATATAAATTTTTTTATTAAAGTGAATATTAGAAATTATATTCCTCTCCTTTTCCAGTATCCTTATTTGTAGTTTTATTGTTTTATACATCTTTAGATCCTTTAAACAAAACTATGTGGTTGTCGAATTTCTCAATTACAATTAAAATTATAAATTCTTTATCAATAGATATTAGTGGTTAGTTTTGTTAGTAAAAAAAATTAAACTCAAAATCTCTTGTACTATCGATCTAATTTTATATCTTTCAAATATTTGTTGAAAGAACTAAATTTAGAACTTTTCTTACTTTATTTTTTTCAACTTTTATCATTAAACCAATATTGTAATTTTAAAATTATATAATTAATCTAATTTTTCAATTACAACAACTTATATTAAATATAAACAAGAAAATAATTAATAATATTAATTGAACTATAAGTATATATTAAATATAAAGATTACATCACACAGTAAACTTTTGACCTCACATAATATGTTATAGTCAATTATCACAATATGTAAAATTATTTAACCTCACTTGGGTTGATCAAGATAAGAATAAATGCCTATCACGTAACATAACTATACTACACTCTAAAATTTGGTACTTCAGTCTCTTATATAGTACACTTTGAAATTTGATACTTCAATCTTATCTTAAAAAATGTTTCAATAAATTTAATAACGCCGTGAATGTTTCAAATTTTTATACATATAAACAAAAGTAATATATATATTTATTGAATTCGAATTCAAAATTAAGAAAAAAAGATGAAAAAGTAAAAGAAACGTTACATGGGGATAAAGAACCCTATGACAGTAAATGAGCCGTTGCACAGAAATAATGAACCCTATAAGACAGTGGTGACATTTGTTCTTCATGCAAACAGAAAAGGACAAAATCTCACCTCAGGCTATGTAAATTCATAATTGACGCTTCATATGCATTTTACTAGCAAACAAGTCTCAGCTACTGCAGCCAGCTCCTTTACATAACTTTATTTGTAATGCTTATTATTCTTTCCCTTTCTTCACTTTGTTTCTTAACGCGTTAAAAGATGCTTATTGAAGAAAGTGCACTGAAACGTATACTTAGAAACATGTAATATTGTGAAGGCGATAACTCCAAGGGAGCCATTCCTTCTATAAATTGAGATCAGAGCAAATGTGCATTCTCACATCACACACACATAGTTACTTTCAGAGTGTTAGAAAAGGTTATTCCAATGGCCACTCTTGTTCTTCATCATCAAACTTCTCCTGCTCAAGATGCTGAGGCTCTTCATCAAGCTTTCAAAGGTTTTCATAAACTTATACCATTTTAATTATTTATTACTTTCTCTGCTCTATCTATGTTTGATGCTTCTAATCATGAATTTATCTTCTTTCTGCTACATCTTGTCATTAGTGTTGATTAACTTTCTTCTGTTCGTTGTTAAGGATATTTTTTGTTACTTATGTTTTACTGTCATGAACCATTTCAGACATTCTTGATATGCTAAATCTATGGCAGATATTTACATTCCTGTTAATATTTTTTATTGTTCTGATTATTTCTCTTTTAACTTAGCAGGGAGAAAATGATACTCTTTTAGTTGAATAAAAAGTAAAAGCTTTCTTGATTTTTAATTTGATTTTCTTAAAATTGGTTTTCTCTTCTCTGTACCAAATGATACACCTTGGAATAAGAGTAAATCATGAGTTATTCTGTGCACTAGTAACTTGTGCCAACCGAGTGAAAAGAAAAAGCCGAGGTACTTGAAGAATGATAATAATATAATATCTTGAAAACTATAAAAGATCAGCATAAACCTAACCCATGTTAAATTGTGTATTTTTGCTGTCTTTTTTAGAATAAAGTCATAAAGACATGAAAGTTGATATACATCATTTTATAATTTTTGTACAAAATTGTTTTAATATTTTTATTGAGTTAAATAAAGATATGAATGCACATGCACACACATATCTACTTTATATATATATATATATATATATATATATATATATGTATATATATATATATATATATGTATATATATATGTATATATTTTATTAAGTTAATACTATATGAATGTCATGAACATATATCTACTTAATGTTTTATTATTTCATATTAAAGATAAAACAATTGATTTCTTTCTCATTTTGAAAAGCTAAAAAAGTTTTTAAAATTAAAGGAATTATAGAAATATTAAAAAATTGTCCTGTCCCTGTAAATGCAGTCTCAAATAACAAATATAAATCTGATTAGAATAATATATTTTATAGAATGAAAACACAATTGATAACACAATATATTTCCAAGACATTGGTATTATTGAAGACTCTTTACAAAGATGTAAGAAAAAACAAACAACATATAGTCCTTGTTATCAAATACCAATACAGAAATTGCGTGTCACTAAAAATTCTTTAATTTTCGTCTGACATGGGATACAAATATACAATGTGAACAAAATCTTTTTGTTTGACTTTGTTCTAAACAACAGTCAGTGACATAATAATATAATTTGTTTTATTTAATGAGATACAAACATAACTGTGACAAAATGAATATGATGACATGATACTTAAAAGGAAACATGACATTGTTTTTGATGATTTAGGATGGGGTTCTGATGGCAAGGCCATTATAGCTATACTGGGTCACAGAAATGTTCATCAGAGACAGGAAATCATAAAGGCTTATGAAGAGATTTACCAAGAGAATCTCATCAAACGCCTTGAGTCAGAGATCTCTGGTGATTTTGAGGTATCATAACAACACTATCCCATATGACTTTAGAGTATCTAAGTAATTGGTTTTTGATAACAATCATGTGGTTCCTTTATCCTTACATTATGAAGAATTGTGTTCATAAATCAGAGAGCTGTGTATCGGTGGATGTTGGAGCCTGCAGATCGTGATGCTGTTTTGATGAATGTAGCAATAAAGAATGGTCCAAAAGAGTATAATGTGATTGCAGAGATTGCTAGTGTTCTTTCAGCTAAAGAACTTTTAGCAGTTAGGAGTGCCTATCATGATCGCTACAAACGTTCTTTGGAAGAAGATGTGGCAGCACACACCACTGGCCATCTTCGCCAGGCAAGTCATTTTCATACAAATAATTTGAGTGTTTGAAGTCACTTAATGAAATTTTGAATGCTAATGGTCAAAATCTGTGATTGGTTTTGAGCAGCTTTTGGTTGGACTGGTGAGCTCATACAGGTACGAGGGTGATGAGATCAATGTAAAATTGGCACAAACTGAAGCTAATATTCTTCATGAATCAATCAAGGAGAAGAAAGCTAACTATGAAGAAGTTACAAGAATTCTCACCACAAGAAGCAAAACTCAACTTGTTGCAACTTTCAACCGCTATAGAGATGAACATGGATTTTCCATTAGTAAGGTACTGATAAATGCAATACCCATTATATATAACTCATTAATTTCTACATGTTTGATAGCTAAATTTGTTTGTCTATATTTAATTTATCTTAAAGAATGATTAAAAATAATAGTGTATTTTCTTTGCAGAAATTGGTTGATCAGTCATCAGATGATTTTGTCAAGGTATCGCACACAGTCATTCGTGGCATCAATGACCACAAAAAGTACTATGAGAAGGTCAGGTTCTCACTTCCCTAAATGCAAGTTTGAAAACACAACATTAAGAAAAAGACTAACAAATCAGTTTCTTTTCTGTATAAGAAAATAGACATTGTATCATTGTAATCTGACCCTAAAGTTTTGTATTATGAATAGGTTTTACGCAATGCAATGAAAAAGTTTGGAACTGATGAGGATGGGTTGACTCGTGTGATTGTAACAAGGGCTGAGAAAGATTTGAAGGACATCAAAGAGGTGTACTACAAGAGGAACAGTGTTCATCTTGAAGATGCTGTGTCCAAGGAAATCTCAGGAGACTACAAGAGGTTCATCCTTGCACTGCTGGGGAAGCAAGACTAAAGAACTTGCCCTAATTAAGGGCATACCCTAGAAATAATGAGTTTCTGATGTGTTGTTTCATTAGGTCAGTTTGTGTCTTGTTTGAGGGCATATGTGCCTTTTCCTTGAGTTATGTGTCAGTACTTTGTTTTTCTCTTATTTGACAGCATCTATCTATGCTGTTTTCCTTTCAGAATTCCTTTGAGTTATGTTGTCTGTTACTTCATTTAATAAAAGCTCATTATCAAAGATTGAGTTCTTCATATTATATTATATTATATATATATATATATTGACACTGAAGGGACAGGTAAATAAAAAATGTTTTTATATTATATAAATCAGAATGAATATTTTAAATGGGGAGGTTTATTTTATATAGAAAGAAATTAGGATACATACTGTCATTATTCTCTTAATTAAATATTTTTAATATTTTTATATAGGTTTATTCTCTTAATTAAATATAATCTTTCAATGCACTTGTCCTTACATACCTAGGTGACATGTTCTTTTCATTTTTTTATCTTAATCCACGTTTTTTTTACTTTGCTTTATAGGAAGTGTGGTTTGTGTTAAAATCTTCTTGAATTAAAAAGATCCAACACATGTTCAATAGAGTACTACATCAACAACTATAAAGATTATAATTTGTTAAGAGTATATTAGTCTGATTAGGCCTTTTAGGTCTATTAGCATTAGCCATTAGCAATATTAATCCAAGTTTAAGAATCAAAATGAAACCATAAAAGTAGGATATCTCTGAATGAGTTTTTAATAATCTAATATTGAGATTTAATCCATTTAGATAAATCTCTTAAAAGTACAAGAATATGAAAATGAATAAAATCTTGTACCAAAGATATAATCAACAAAATAAAACATAAAAATGTAAAAACAACAGAAATATTCACGATAAAATGTGAACTTGAAACATTTTAAGAAAATCATAAGTAAAATCACTAAAGAAGAAAAAACAATAAACAACTCAAATCAAATCACATAAATGTGTGTAAAACTCGTATTAGTTTCAAGAACTCTATGAGTATACAAGGAATAAAAACATAAATGAGAAACGTGAAAATATTAGAAGACGATGAGGATGAATGAAGATAAATGAAAAGGAAATCATCAGTCGAAACTAAAAAATCCAAGATAAGACTCAAAGATTAAGAGAATTCTAAGCCAATGAGATAAAAACAACTCTTCAATTTCTTAATGATTTACACTAAACTTTATCACCTATTCAAACCATACAAATATGGAAGATAGATCTATAGAGAACTCATAAGTCTTTGATTCCAAGTTTATGTTACATTATGCTGAAACATTTTATAGTTTATCGTAATCTTATTTACCCGTAATTTAAAATCAAATAAAGATATTAGTCTCTAAAAATTATGAAAGAATATTTATTTTCTTTATATAAATTAGGATTTTTATATGGAAAAGACAACTGTTTTAATATTTTTTAAGAAGTCTCTAATAATTTTTTTATTTCTTTTTGTATATCCAATAATTTCACATAATTTAAAAATTGATATAAAAAATAATTTAATATTTTTAAAGACAAAATCCTAACAGAAATTTCAAACTCAAAAACAAACTTATTATCTCGAGAGCTTTAAGGTCAAACACTTTTAATATTTATTGTTTTCTTTTTCATCTCTTCTTTATTTATTGAAGAATTGTTAAATAGTTTAACTTTTAAAAATAGTCGAATTTAAAATAAGTAAAATCTGATGTCACCTGACTTATTTTAACCCATACGTAAAAAATAACAAATTAAAACACACTTTACATCGTATAGAAGAGAAAACTACATGAAAAAGAAAACAATCAGCTTTGATTTTATAAAAAAAATAATAATTTTACACTGCGAGAAACATGAGAACTGATTTTATCATTTTTTTTTCTATAAAATAATAGATAATGAAATTTTAACGACATTTTAACGATATTTTAACATAATTTACGTGTCATTATATATGTGATTGATCTAAAATTATTATACAATTAATAATAATTATTATAAACATTATTATAGACCAATCATAAAGGACACGTAGATAATATCATAAAAAAATGTTGTTAAAGTATTAATTGAAAGTACAAATCCTATGCAGTGGTTGGCAAATTAGGTCGGCACCTAAAATGTATAATTATAAACTATTACTGTCTTTGGCGGGAGGTTCTAACCAAACAAATAAGACAATAATGTACAAAATTAAACTAAAATGAAGTGAAATGGTTTCATCCAGTGGTTTTAACAATCGTCGTACTTTTTATAATCGATAATCCAATTCCTTATTTTTCATAGATAGAATAGGTCGATGATTTCAGTGAGAAAAAGGAAAAAATGTTCTCTAGAATCTTCTCAAAATATTAATTTTAATAGTTCTTTCTTAGTACAATGGCACGTCAATGATTCGTCTCCAATCACTATTCTTCATTTTTTTCAAAGTTTTAATTTCTAACATTATTTTGTTCTCCTCGGCAACTTACAAGAGTGGCAATTGAGAATACATTTATTTTCTAACACATTATTTGTATTAGTTATAATTTATTGATCACTATAAAATTTGTAAGAAAAAAAGAAAATTATTAAGGTCAATTTGTTTTAATTTGCAATTAATTTTAATTAATATTTTTTTCTAAATTTGAAAAGGAGTTGAATTTGATTCTTTTGTAAAGGAAAGATTTTGGTAACGTATCGAAGGTAGAAATAATAAATAGGACGGAAGTAGAAAGTTATCTTTATTTCTAAAATAATAAATATATTTGTTGTGACACCTGGGCACTCACGAGGGCGGAGAGTGATCGCCGGTGTAAGAGATACGAAGTATAAGAGACACAAATAAAGAGCGACTCCAAACTTCCAGTGGAAAGGAAATATGAAAGAATCGAACATACATCGGAATAAGAGAAATCTAGAGACGGTATAAGTATGAAACTATACCGTTGAAGGATAGTTTAAAGGAATTGATTTGACTATTCATATCATCAAAATGCATTTGTTTTTCGGTAGCTTAAACGATAACATTACATTTTTCACTGAAACTCTCAAATATATATTTATTTTTTCACCCACAATGATCAACTTAGTGTGATGTAGGAGTCTAAAATATATTTTAGGTTTAATCCTTTTCGACATCCCTATTTGTGTACGAATGTCTGAGATAGGTCCTCGTTTTCTAAAGTGTATCAAAATGGTCCTTAATTTTGAAAATTGATATCAATTGAGTCCTTCCCGTTAAGTTGGCTGGATGGCGTTAAAAAAATTGATGAGTGGGATACTGAGATGACGAACGAACGCTCGTCCACCAGCGAACGAACTCTCGTCGACCTCTTACTGCTGGACTACCGTTCGTTTCACACTGGACGACCGTTCGTTCGGTGGTCGACGAGCGTTCGTTCGTCATCTCAGCATCCCACTCATCAATTTTTTTAACGCCGTCTAGCCAACTTAACGGAAAGGACTCAATTGATATCAATTTTCAAAATTAAGGACCATTTTGATACACTTTAGAAAACGAAGACCTATCTCAGACATTCGTACACAAATAGGAATGTCGAAAAGGATTAAACCTATTTTAATATATTTTAGAGGACATAGTGAACACAGAAGCTATTGTATAATATGTTCAGTTTTTAAGAATATATATATATATATATATATATTGAAATATTCAAATTTTTTTATATTAGGTTATGTATCATCGTGTTAGTATGTTTGAATTTATTTGGAATAAAACAATTATAATTTATCATGTGAGTGTTGGACATTGTTAAAAAGTTGTTAAAAAGAAAATGGTTAAAAAAATATTTTTCATATATATAACTTTGCAGCTGTGTGTATAAATTTAATTAGCCAGAAGCTTAGAGTAAAAGTAAACAATTGAAGCATGGCTACATTGGTTGCTCCTCCCAACCACTCTCCTGTGGAAGATGCAGAATCTCTGAGGAAGGCCGTGAAAGGTCAGATACTGACATGATTCATCATATTTCCAAAAATTCATTTGATCATAGGTTTACATATTTTGAGTCCATCATCAAATTTCCAATAATTTGGTAGGAACTTGGAATAGGTGATGAGCATGCCAGATTTTTCAAAATTGTGATTTATACAAAAAAGACTAAGATTAAAGCAATGGATTCTGAAAACTTTGTAGGTTGGGGAGCTGATGGAAAAGCCATTATATCAATACTAGGCCATAGAAATGGTGCACAGAGGACCCAAATCAGAGAGGCATACCAGAATCTCTTCCAAGAGGATCTCATCAAACGCCTTGAATCCGAGCTCTCTGGTGACTTCGAGGTACACGAAATTGGCACTGGAAATCTCAGAAAAAGTTTCGTATTATTATTGTGAAATCCAACTGCTAAGAAAAAGTTAAACACCATATTGCTTTAAAGTCGTGGATTAGAAGCTATGTCAATCTATCTTACTAATAATGTAATTAATAAGTATTGTTGTGTGGGTTTTATGTACGAAACAGAGAGCAATGTATCGTTGGATATTGGAACCTGCAGAACGTGAGGCTTTGTTGGCCAATATAGCCCTTAAGAGGGATGAAAAAGGCTACCAAGTGATTGTGGAAATTTCCTGTGTTCTTTCACCTGAAGAGCTTTTTGCTGTGAGACGTGCCTACCACAACAGGTTCAAACGTTCCATGGAGGAAGATGTGGCTGCTAATACCACTGGCCATCTTCGCCAGGCATGTCTTATATAATTCCACAAAACTCAGATTGAGTTTCTTCTTGTGATTCTTCCATCTTAATTGAGTTTTGCCTCCATAAGTTTTAATGCAGAACACTATGATTAACTGAATGAAACTAATTTTCACTGGAAAGTTTCACCCAAAATATATACATTTTGTAATTTATACACACTTCATATTTTGCATTTGAAGAGAAAGAAGTCAACTGGTGAAATGATTTAGGGTATTTATTCATGATCTAATTAGGGTTTGGTTAATTTGTTTCAGCTGTTGGTAGGGTTGGTGAGCTCATTTAGGTACGGTGGCAGTGAGATTAATGCACGATTGGCACAATCTGAAGCTGATGCACTTCATGAGGCTATCAAAAACAAGAACAAAAGCAATGAAGAAATTATTAGGATCCTTACCACCAGGAGCAAGACCCAACTTGTGGCCACTTTCAACCGTTACAGGGATGATCATGGCATTGCCATTACAAAGGTACAACATGGAAGAACCTCTTATTTACTTTCTTCATGTTAAGATT